ACTTCTATGCCTGTGTTGCTTGGCTCCATAGCTCCTTCCTTGAGCTGCCCAGGTTAATGAGTGGAGGGGACAGTGGTAAGAAGCTGAGAGAGACAAAGTATGCTTGAGTTAGGAAAGGTTCAAGCTACCTGGAAAAAAAGAGGTGCACGAGGTGAGAGAAAGGGGCAAGAGCGGGCCTTTAGGAAGAGGCAGGGAAAGGAGATTTTGGGGAGAGTAGCTGCTTCCACGAGTCAGAATTTGAGAAAAGAAATGTGTGAAGAGGAAATGTAGCCTACGTTTCAGGGTGTGATTCAAGTGTTCTTGGAGGAGGAGATTTACATCATTCCTCAAGGTCTTCTGGAGTTGGGTTTATTTAATGGAGTGCATCCTGGCCTAGAGCTCAGCCCCAAGGCTAATTGGCCATAATTGGGTTACCTGTGTCTATTTGGTAAAGTTGAAGTGGGATCACAGGAGCCTAGGAGGGTTACTCAGTTTTCAAATAATCAGCTCTCTTACCAATAGGGAGTTCTTCTTTTTTTTTTTTTTTTTTTTTAACTTTTATTTTAGGTTCAGAGGTACATGTGCAGGTTTGTTTTACAGGTAAACTGTGTGTCGTAAAGGTTCTGTATACAGATTATTTCATCACCCAGGTACTAAGCATAGTACCTGATAGATATTTTTTCTGATCCTCTCCTTCTCCCACCCTCCACCTTCTGATAGGCCCCAGTGTGTGTTATTCCCCCCATGTGTCCATGTGTTCTCATCATTTAGCTCCCACTTATAAGTGAGAACATGTGGTATTTGGTTTTTTGTTCCTTCATTAGTTTACTGAGGATAATGGCTTCCAGCTCCATCCATGTGGCTGCAAAGGACATGATCCTGTTCTTTTTTATAGCTGCATAGTATTCCATGGTGTGTGTGTACCACATTTTCTTTATCCAGTCTACCAGATCTACACTGATGGGTATTTAGGTTGATTCCATGTCTTTGCTATTGTGCTGCAATGAATATATGTATGCATGTGCCTTTATGGTAAAACGATTTATATTTCTTTAAGAATATACCCAATAATGGGATTGCTGAGTCACATGGTTATTCTGTTTTACTGCTTTCCACAATGTCTGAATTAATTTACATTCCCATCAGCAGTGTATAAGGTTCTCCACAACCTCACCAGCATCTATTATTTTTTGACGTTTTAATAATTACCATTCTGACTGGTGTGAGATGGTATCTCATTGTGGTTTTGATATGTATTTCTCTAATGATTAGTGATAGTGAACATTTTTCCATACGCTTGTTGGCGGCATGTATGTCCTCTTTTGAAAAGTGTCTGTTCATGTCCTTTGCCTACTTTTTAATTTTTTTGTTTTTTGCTTGTGAATTTGTGTGAGTTCCTTACAGATTCTAGATATTAGACATTTGTCAGATGCATAGTTTGCAAATAATATGGGGTCCTAGGCCACTTTGAGGAGTTTTGGAAATCTACAAAACTATTCCTCAGAACAACGCAGGTGAGCAAATACACACAACATTTTGCCAACAGTTTTTAGGGGTTTTTGAACCCAGAGGCCCAACCTCGGCCCCCTGTGTCAAGGAAGCTGGGGAGGGCTCTGCCTGATGCTGCAGTCCCAGCCACCTGCAAATCAACTCATATTGAAAATGTGCCCAATCAGTGAGCACATTACCGTCTCCAAGAGTGCCTTGTGGAGGCAGATATGCACTTGAAAACTGCATATTCTAGAGTCTTGGCCTTTCCTGCTTGACAGCAAGAGGAATATGCAGGAGTTTGGTGGAAGTTTCTGACACAGAAATCTTACAATAGGAGTTTACCTCTGAAATCCCAGTGGAGTCCATTAGTGGAGCGATTTGCAGCTCCTTGCTTTGCTAGGTGTGCCAAGAGCGGTTCTGGTTTTAGAAGGCAGTCATCCAGGACTGGGAAGGGGCAGGCTGGGAGAATCTAAGCCCCACTGAAGGGTCCCAAGTGGAAGATGAAGAATGATGAGGACGTAAATTCTTGGTGTCTGGGAGAAGCCTGAAAGACTGGAGGCTAAGACCAGCCTTGAAAATGGATAACAGGAGACTAAGTGGCATTTTCTCCCATCATCTCAGACTGGCTGACAGTGGCACAGAGCTAGGGAGATTTCTGCACCACCGCTGGGATAGGGGAGAACAAGGAGGCAGCACACTGTCCTCAGGCCTGACGAGGTTGGCAGAATGGGCCCTGTTACTACTAATCATCATTACTGCCTTTCCACAAGCTATCAGTTTAAAAGAACAAAATGAGAGGGGAAGAGTCCTGTAGCCTTGGAAGGAGTGTAATTCTCCTTCTCCTTCATCTCTTTCGTCTTCCTTCAGCTCTTTCTTTTCCTTCTCCTTCTTCCTTTCCTTCTCCTTTTATTCCTCTTTCTCTTCCTCCTCACCCTCCTCCTCCCTCACTTTTTTTGTTTTTTAAAGCTATTCTAACCTCACTGGGGAAAGGAAGGGGACTGTGCTTTCTGAGGCCAAGCAAAAGGAATTGGAAGACAAGCAGGGGTTGTCTTAGTTACAGTTCCCTTAGATGCAGGTTCTGAGGTAATTAGTTTGTTTAGGAGGGGATTCCAGGAAACACTAATAGGAGAAATGGGGAAGCGAATCAGGGAAGGGAAGAAGTCACACTCTTCAGAGTGTGTCACAGAGCAAAGTATCACTGCAGGCAATAGGAGCTTAGTCCCACTGGGGACCTCTGACAGTCAATAGAGACCATGCCTTCTGAGATATTCCTCACAGGGGCTGGGATACTGATTCAACAACTCTGAAGAGCCATTGATTGCCTCCTGGTCTTGAAAGGTGTTAATTCCCTGGTTAATTTCAGCCTGCTGCTTGCTCTGGCAGAGTGAGCTCCAATCCTCAGAGGAAGCCCCCAGGCAAAGAGGCAAAGAGACACAGGTGCTGGCCAAAAAAGCTAGGCTGACACATTATTTGATTTCATTCATAGCAAGTTCAGAGAGAAGCAAAACAGATCTATGGTGTTAGAAGTCCAGACAGCAGGTACCTTGGGAGGGGATGATTAGAGGAAGGTTTGTAAGATTATGATCTTGTCTAATTTATTGATCTGAGTTTGCACAGATGCGTTCATTTCATACAAATTCATTGACCTGTACACTTGTAATCTGTGTACTTTTCTACATATCTTTTATATTTAAATATATTTACAAAAACACTAAGTCTCATTTCTTGGAATGGGCTTTTTCTAGTAACTTAAAGTGTCTGAAAAGTTCCAGAATTGAACCAAGATGTCACCAAGGGAGACATTACCCAAAGGAAAATGGGAATTCAGCTGAGCAGAGATGAGGGCAGCAACATCCAGACATGACAAATGACCTGCCACTCCAACAGAAACCGCTAGAATCAAACACAGAGAAAGGAAATGGATGGGAAGAAGTCAATTTTGAGATTATTTCCCAGCCCCAATAAACTGTGATTTCTTGAAAAACCAGTTGCAAATGTTTGGCAGCAGCTTTGCAAAGAAGGTCCTCTGAGAAAGGATTCCAGATGGATAGGATGTTTCCCCAATAAGTCTCTTGTCTCCAGGCTCCAGGGAGACCTGGCAGGGCCGGCGTTGCAGCCCAACACACATGAGGGACCCATTGGCTTCTTCAAACTTCCCACTAAATGTTGTGATTAACCACGCTGTGGCTCCAATTAGATCAAATAAAAGCAACATGTTAAAAGAATAGCAGCAGGAGGTAATGTGCATATCATTAAAGAACAAGTTACAAATATGAGTCCTTTGGTGAGTCTAATAGAGACATGTCGCGTGGAACTGAGACAAACACAGAGTCTGCTGGTTTGAGGTTGCACCCTGAGTTTGCCATGGGTTGGGAGCCGGGCAGATATTAGTAAGAACGTTATCAAGGAATAATAGCTATTTTTTAGGGCTTCCTATCTGCCAGACACTGTGTGAAGTGCTTTGCATGCAATACTAATGAAGTAAGTTGTATTTATTCCATTTTATGTTGAAGAAACAGGACCTAAGCAGATGGGAGAATTGATAAAGGTTAAACAGTTAACTAGTGGCTGGGTCTGCCTGAATCCAAAGTACACCTGATTTTAATTTTTTATTGAAATTGAGGTATAACTTACAAATAGGAAGATATGGACATCTTAAGTGTAAGGAACTATTGCCTATGCATACACCTGTGCAACCACCACCCAGGTAAAGCTATGGAGCATCCCTGGCATTCCAGAAGGTTCTCTTATGCCCCTTTTCCAGTCACTATCACTCCCAAAGAAAGTGCTGCTCAGAGTAGTTTTGCCTGCCCTTGAACCTCATAGGTGGTAGCCTACCCTGTGTGTTGTTTTGTATCTAGCCTCTTTCACTCAACTTATTTTCGAGATTTACCCATGTGTATGGTGCTTGAATTAGTAGCTCATTCATTTTTCATTGCTGAGTAGTATTCTACTTAGAAATACACTGCACTTGATTGATTTGTTCTGCTGATAGTATTCAGGTTGTTTCCAGTTTTCAAGGCCAAGTGCTTTTAACCACACATATTTCACTGTAGGTTGGTGAAGGCAGCTGGGTTACTTGTTTTTGTTGTTGTTGTTGTTGTTGTTTGTTTGTTTGAGACAGTCTCAGTCTGTCACCCAGGCTGGAGTGCATTGGCATGATCTTGGCTCACTGCAACCTCCGCCTCCTGGGTTCAAGCGATTCTCCTGCCTCAGCCTCCTGAGTAGCTGGCATTACAGGTGCATGCCACCATGCCTGGCTAATTTTTGTATTTTTATTAGAGAAAGGGTTTCACCCTGTTGGCCAGGCTGGTCTCGAACTCCTGCCTGCCTCGTTCTCCCAAAGTGCTGGAATTACAGGCGTGAGCCAGCTGGGTTACTTGTAATAGTCAGGCAGGGGAACTTACATGAAAAAAGAAGGAGGTTTCAGAGGTCACAACTATGAACAGTAAAGCTAAGAAAAAATGAAAGCTGAACGGAAACCTCTTGCTCTCAGATTTCTGCATAGCTCCCGCCCTTGTGTCTTTCAGTCCAATCTCTGCTCAGGCGTCACATTCTGCATACAATGGCACCTCCTAACAGATGAAATGATGGCATAGGCATGCAATCTGCAAAATCCATACTGCAGGATATTCTAGGGGACAAATGACCTGGCCATTTCAACAAAAACCTGCAAGAAACAAAAACAAAGAAAGGAAATGGGTAAGAACCTAAAGACTGAAAGAGATTTGTTTGAACCTGAATTTAAGTAAAGTTCATAGCATGCAAAAATATTTGCGACAATGGGGAGGTATGAACACTGATGGGACATGATCACGTATTAAGGAGTCCTGGTTATTTTTTAAGTGCGATAATGGCATTGAGGTTATGTTTTGTAAAAGTCTCTGTCTTTTAGAGTTAAAATAAAGGACACCTCTCCACCTTCACACTCCAGCTTGCTTACCTTGTGCAGGGGAGGAAAGATTTCTTTCCTCACCCATTGCTAGGTTTATGACTGAGATACCTATCATAAAAGACAGATTCACAAGAGAAAAGCATAGAAATTTATTTAATATAGTTTTATATGACATGGGAGCCTTTAGAAGTGAAAGACTACAAACAACAACAACAACGGGGAAACCTGTGTATTTTTACGCTAAGTTTGATGAAGAGGTGGACAGTCCTGGAGAAGTGTGATTGGACACAGGGGGTGTGATCTACTGATAATAACCTGGGGGCCTGTTTGTTCAGATTCTTCGCTGAGTCCCTGCGTCATGGACTCTCCTTTCCTCTGCTTATGAGTTGGGCACAACCCACATGGGTAGTATTCCACTGTATTCCACATGAGGCTTTTATGACCGACTTGAGCAGAAGGTCAGAGGATTCTATGATATTTGATGGTGTGCATCAGGGGAGGGGGTGGGGATCAGAGAGACCTTCCCGCTTCTGCGGTTTTCTCAGATGCCAAGATGCTCTAGTTTGGGGAGCATATCCTAAATCCTATCACTTGCCTAATGTTACTTACTAGCTCTCATTTCCCTCTGACACTTGCCCTTTTTGTTTTCTTGAGTAGAAGCTTCATAAAGGCAAGACCTTCATCTTATTCACAGCAGCTGATTCTATCACCTTGTATGGCACCTGACACATAGAAGGTACTCAATAAATATTTGTTGAATGGATGCATGAAGTGTTTGAGAAAGTTCCCCTGAAAGCAAATGTCAAAGAATTGAAAAACAGAAGGAAACGATGAAGCCTGGGGACATGGTTCTGAAATCAGGTTTTTGTTTGTTTGTTTGTTTGTTTGGTTTTTTACAGTGCAAAGAGCTGGCTGTGGAAGGCAGCTGTGTTAGAACTATTTATGAAACTCTCACTTGTGCCTGATTGGGGGGAGATAAAAATCTACCTCCCCAAAGGCCCCCCAGCTTGAGTTGTGGCTGCTGCACTATGGGCTTGTTTATGTTTAGCAGCTGGGGTCCACGGGGAGCCTGTGACAAGGGCCGGGGCTGCAGCAGTTGAAGATGTGCCTGCCATTATTTAATTAAATCATCGTGGGCATGTCCCTTAACTTCTCGGAGCCTCAGTTTCATCTATGGTAAGGGAGGTTGATTATTCATCTGCTCACAGGGGTTCTGAGAGAAGCAAAGGACGGACTGGTCCCAAGGAACTGCATTTGATAGGCCCCCTCCTCTCCTAACCCTACCCTTTCCCCAGGTGATTCTCAAGCTGGTGTCCCTGGGAGAAACCACACCAATGGAAGTCACTTGAAACACAGGAGAAAAGATTCTCAAGTTGTGTCTAAAAAAAAAATTGCTAACGGTCAAACTGCCTTTGAAAATTCTCTGGGAAGGGACCTCCCTGGAGAGGACAGCCGTTTCTCCACGAGGCCAACACAGACAGTGCTTCCTCCAGTGCTGGAACAGACCACCGTGCTTTCCCTGGGCCCCAGATGAACGAGGTGATGTGAGGCTCACCCCGCTTATTGGAAGACACGCTCACTGAACGGGGCTCGGAGAAACTGGGACCCAGTGGTTGGCGCAGCCAGGTTCTGAACGCGGACCATTTGGCCCCAGAGGCAAGGTCCTACAACCCTTGTGCAGTATGGGTGTCCAAGGGGACCTCCACGGACCGGCAGTGCTTGAGTTAAAGTAGCTTTAGGGCAGTCGGTCTGGACGCAGCGCACAGGCAGAAGTGAAGAGGGGAGGAGGGGAGAGGGGAGGTGTGCAGTGCAGCGGAGATAACCACAGAAACCACCGCAAAGGGAGACGTGGGCCTTCGCCTGGCTTCAGTGGTCACTGGTCCCACGGGTGGGACTAGGCAGGTGAGCTGTGATTAAAAATTGGCTCAACCACCGGTCCGTGACCCAAGCCGCTCACAAATCAGAGAGGTTGGCTGCTTTGAGTTTCCTCTGTTTCTTTTCTTTTTCTTCTTTGTTATAGGCACTGCACAGTGTTGAGATAGGCTAGAAGGAAACCCCAGGACAACAAAAAGGCCGGCACGGTCCCCAGCCTGACCATCAACAGGGACCTGCCATGGGTCAGAAACGACCTGCCCACACACGTCCGCACGTCCTCCAAGGCTGGGGAGGACGAGGCAGGATTCCTGGCTTCCCTCCAGGCTCTGCAACCACTTCCCCTCCTCCCTCTCTCCTGCTATTAAATTTAGGTCTCTTTCCGGAATGTTCTAAACCTTTTTAAAGGCAGCAACACACTGTTCCTGAGTTGGCTGTTACCTCTGAGAAACCGGGAATGAATTGCCAAGTAATTGCCGATGGCTTTGAGCCTGGACTCTGGGCTGGGGATCCTCCTAGGCCCACCCCGGGATGAGTCATCATTCATCGGAAGGACCCCGCCCTCCTAAGACCCCTGAGCTGCTCCAGACGTGGCTGTAAAAGCTGGCCTCGGCATGGCTCCTGTCTCTCTCCATGCCTGACCGCCCTGCTCCTCACCCCGCTCTCCTCTCCCTGATGGTAGCTCATTCATTCCACCGGTCTCTGTCACAGACCCCAACAGGCTCTGCCTGTGGCCGCTGACCCTCACTCCTGGGCAGGCTGATCCCACCCTAACGGTTTCCAACAACTGCTGGCTTTGCCCGAGGGTCCTCTCTGGCTGCCCCAGCCAGCCCAGCCCCTGGTACAAGCCAGACCAGAAGTTCCAGGGTGTTACCCCTCCAGTCCCCAGCTGCCCTCAGCCATGCCTGGTGGACACACACCCCAGCTCCTGTGCCCCTCCGTGGGGATAGCTAAGGTGTGTTCCATTCCCCATACTGCGGACCCCAGTTCCCCACAGACACACCCTGTAGGGCTTTTTCTCCCTTCCTTCTCTCACTTCCCCTCTCTTACTGGGTCACCTAACCACTTGCACTGACATCTGTGCCAGTGGGAACTCAACCTTGAGAACGCCTTTCAGAGGCTTAACACATATTCGTGCTGAGCCAGGTAACTAACCGCTTGGGCCTGTCTTAGGCAAAAGAGGTGTGACCGCAAACAGACAGATCTGGCCCCAGACATTGCAGAGGTCAGCCTCACAGACACAAGGACTGCTGAAGCACTACTACCAAATTTGCAATTCGCTTTTAAAATATTTGAGTTCCTACCATGGGCCAAGTAGTGTGGCAAGCTCTGGTGATATGGGGTTGAGTAAATTAGACAAGAATTTTCTTTACCGGGGTATACGTGCTGGTGGAGCTATCCAATGACTAAGGAAAAAAAAAGTCAATTGTAAGTGTTATGCAGAGTGTAATGTGTTACTTTAGGTGCTCAGGGAAAGTCATGTTTAGGCTGAGCTATGAATTATACAAAGGAGCCAAATGGATACAGGTAAGACAGATGGGCCGGGCGTGGCGGCTCATGCCTGTAATCCCAGGACTTTGGGAGGCTGAGGTAGGTGAATTGCTTTAGCCCAGATGTTAGAGACTAGCCTAGACAACGTGGTGAGATACCGTCTCCTCAAAAAATGTAAAAATGAGCCATGAATGATGATATGTACCTGTAGTTCCAGATACTCAGGAGGCTAAGGTGGGAGGATCATAAGCCCAGGAGGTTGAGGCTACAGTGAGCCATGATTGCGCCATTGCACTCCAGCCTGGGCGACAGAACAAGATACTGTCTCAAAAACAACAACGAAAAGACAAGAGACCACAGATAGAGGGAGCAAAAGCATGAAAATGGGAAGCTTTCTCAGAGTGCTATGAATGGAGCGACTTCCTGGAAGCTGGGCAGTGACTAAGGGCAGTGCCTGGTACAGAGTGTAGGCTCAACGTGGTCTTGGGATTAGGGCAGAATTCTCTGCAGAAGTAAGGAGACATAAATCTGAAGAATCAGAAGGAGTAATTGAGGACTAGGAAGAGAAAGAGACTTCCAGGCAGAGAGAACAGCATATGCAAAGGTCCTGAGGCTAGAGACTGCCCAGTACATTTTGACTGGCTAAATAGGAATTAAGGGGTAGATGGCTCAAGATGAGGCTAGAGGGGTAGTGTGATTGATAATCTTATTGTTCAGCAAATGTTCACTCTTCTCCCTGCCCATTTAGGGAACAGGATACTTCCCCTGCCCCACTGACTTGAGGCTTGTCCTTGTGACTTGCTTGAGTCAATGGAATATGAGCAACTACAACATAAGCAGAGGCTTGAAGTGTGCAATTCAGCTTGGTCTCTGGCATTCCCACTGTTCACCGTGAAAAGAGCATACCCTGGTTAGCAAGTAAAGCAGATTGAGGTCGATCCTCAGCCTGGAGCTAACTGAACTGTACAGTCAGTGGAGAGAATCAATAGTCATTTTAAGCCACCAAATGTTGAGGTGGATTGTTATGCAGCATTGTTTTGGTAATAGCTGACTAATACAAGTGGGTAGGGAACCAATCCTGCAAGGAGGCCACTAGGAAGTTATGTACGAAGCTCTTGCTACCTGCTCAGGTTGGTCAGCTGGGTTGGGAGGTTACTTCTATGCAGTTGTCCTGCAAAGATGATGTAATGCAGGTGAATGAATGATTTATGGGAAGCTGAAAAGTTGCCTTTTGGGCAAGATCAAGGAGCCAGGCTGCTGAGTACAAGCCTTCATATGACACAAATCTTAAGTTTGGCTCTCCTCATCTGTCCCAGGTGAAAGGACCATCTGTGTGTATGATCTAGGATGTTTAGTGTGAAGTCGGGTCATGCTGTCATTTCCAAGGTGAACTCCTTGTGGGCAAAGATTTAACCGTGGACAGAAGTACAGGTAAATATGCTGACAGAAATGAAGAGAAGATGAGTCAAAATGGAGGCATACAAACTCAGGGAATAAAATGTTATACCTTTCAAAGTGACAGTGGAAGGCTGACCACCATTTCGGCTCCTCCTAAAGGGGCTGCTGTCTCTTGAAATGCAAACTCCCAGCAGTATTGGTGGTTCTGGAATGGCAGCATCTGTTCTCCAAGGGAATTACAGGACAGAGCAGGAATCTTCAGTGTAGGGAGGAGATAGGGGAAAAGAGGTGGGGTAGCTCAGACATGATCAGATGGGTCACTGTCTGGGACAAGCCATTTACAAAGGCCACATGAACAAAGTCAACCTTGATCTGGGTTGGCAGCTGGGTGGTGGTGGGGGAAAGAGCGCTATGTACTCAAAAGCCAGGGCTCCTATGGGACATTTCAGGAAAAGTTCCAGCCTTCCCTTGTCAGCTCTTGGAGTAACTAGATTTCCTTCCTCATCTTAGAAAAATGCTTCTAGAGTAAATTGATAGCAACTGAAACAGTAGAAGCATCCAGTTTTTGTTAAAAATCCTGCTTTCATTACAGCTGCAAGGGATGGATCTAGAACTGATTTATGGAGCTTAGGGGTTCTGTGAAGTCATACTTGGCCTTCACAGCAGGAGAGAGAGAAAGACAGAGAGAGGGAGAAGCAGTCAGAGGATGTAACCTCTCTACTCGCTTGGGATGAAAAAGCTCCTTCTCTCTCCAACATACACAGGCACAGACATCCTCCCAGGGGAGGTATTGTGGCCTGACTCTCACTTTGGGAAGATTCTTCTCCTGCTGCCTTTTAGGACCAGAGCATGCTTTATCTCCAAAGGCTGGGCCCCTGTTTTATGCCTCCAGGGCAATCCTCTTGGACTCACCTTGTTAACCTGAGTATCACACCATTCTCTGTCTTGATGGTAGAACTAGAGAGTCCTGAGGCA